ATCCTTTTGTTGCCGTATAAAAGCTTTTGTTCCGGTGCCTCTGCAGTCTCGCCCGTTCTAATGTATGCCATCCTGCTGCTAACTCCTACTCGAAATTGCAGGGCGTGCACTCCATGTTGGAAGGTTGCCCAGCGAAGCCGTGGGAGGATGATGAGAAGAGGATCAGCAAGCTCGTGTTTATCGGCAGGAATCTGGACGAAGGCGCGCTAAGGAAGGCCTTCAAAGGTTGCCTGTTGTGATGAACCCTCTGATCATGTGTTTATCTCATTGGGATCGTGGTTGAGGCTGAGAACGACTACACAAGTAAATCGGGCGAAAAGGGCGAGTGCAAGGCCCTATGTTTTTTTTTGGTGTTGATGTTTGCCTCAGAGTTCTCTGAGAAACCGAGTAGTGTATCTTGTACTAGACTAGGCTAGAAGTAGAGAGTCGAATTGTGTGGTATCCATGTCTTGATGAGAACCATAACTGTATGCTGTTGTACTTTTCTTGCTATTTATATAGGTCAAAAAGGAAACCATGGTGAGTTTCCTGTGATGAAACTAGAGAGAGAATTTCATGTGTCAGCTCAGCCGTCTGAAACTCTGAATACGTACATGCCTTTGCCATGTCTTGGATGTCATTCTATTGGAATTTGGCCGTGTGACCGGCTCTATTTACCTCCAAAATACCGGATATTTTGCCAAAAAAGAAAGGACCCTCTTATCTGGCTGGCGTTCGCTGTGAGGGGGTGACATTTGCAAACGTTTTCATAGCAGTTTTAGGTGTGTATGTGGTGACGGTTCCTTCAGAGCGACATAGTCCTCCTCCCCAAAAATCCCACGTCGCTCCGAGAAAACAGCCACCTCCGGTACAACTAAAACCGCTAGCAAAAACATTTGAAATGCCATGCTCTCCCAACGAACGCCAGCCAAATAAGATTTCTGAAAAAAAAAGAACTTCACATGAACTTTGCCGTGTGACAGACTTGTACACCTCTCCGCCAGAAGTAGTCACGCGTTTCTATCCGCCTAACGAACACACCACAAAATCGAAAACCGAGATTTTGCATGAATTTTGCAAGAAAACAATAAAATTCTGTCACGAGATTTGAGAAAGGAAAATCGATTTCGAATTCGAAGCAAACAACCGAATTCCGCGAGACAATTGCTCATATGGAATCCCACACGGGAGAACGAGTAATACGGCACACGTGGCGTCCGCTGATTTGCGGTGCGCCCCTACGCTACGCGGCTGCCCGTGCCAGTTCCCCCAACGGCTATATCATTTACACCCTTCCATCTTTGCCTCCCCCCATACCACTATCCACCCCACGGATCCTCCAAGAACTCCCCGCCCCGCCCCCGCACAGAACCAACTCCGCCGCCAGATCAACCCGCCGCCCTCCCCCGTCCCCGCGAGCCAGCGAATCCGCGCCGCGCTCGCTCGCTCGCTCGCTCGCCCGGGGGGAAACGCCCGCCGCCTCGACCGCGCTCGGAGCTCCGCAGGACCCTCCTCCTCCTCCCGCGCTCAAAGCTCGTTTCTTTTCTTGGTTACTGGTTGCGATCTCGTTTCTTGGTTCTCGTCCGCGCGCTGCTAATCTCGCCGTGTTCCTTCTTTTGGTAGAAAAATTCCTCTCCGCGTTAGGGCGTCCGTTATTGCTTTCCGGTCCGAGTTGATTTGGTTTGTTATATATACTCGTCTGCCTGCGAATCCGTTGCTCGATTTAGGGCTACTTCCGTGCTGATCCCCGGTTCGAATTGCATTGCTAATCTTGCTCGCATCAGTACTACCGCCGTTTCTTGTTTGTTCTGATCCATGGACGCAGGTTCCGACATGATGTCGCCGGAGAAGAGCGGCAGGCGGGGCGCGCGGCCGCCGCTCCGGGAGGCCGGGTTGACGCCCTCCATGCCGCCGCTCCACGAGCCCGGCTCCAGGCCCAGGCCCTACATGCCGTCCCTCTGCTCCACGCCCCGCAACCCTGCCGTCAAGTGCTATGTGAGTCCCCGATCGATCCCGTTTCCCCCTTTCGCCTGTTGTCCTGTGCGTGCGCGCCACTTGTTCGACGGAATGACTGAACGGGTGTGAATCTGCCTGTTTGTTTGTCTGGCAGGGCGACAGGTTCATCCCCGACAGGTCGGCGATGGACATGGACATGGCGCACTACCTGCTGACAGAGCCGAGGAAGGACAGGAAGAACGGGGCGACGCCGTCGCCGGCCAAGGAGGCGTACCGGAAGCTGCTGGCCGAGAAGCTGCTCAACAACCGCACCAGGATCCTCGCCTTCCGCAACAAGCCGCCGGAGCCTGACAACAGCATCCTCACGGAGCTCCGTGCCGACGTGGCCTCCGTCCAGGCCAGACCGGCCAAGAAGCGTCGATACATCCCTCAGGTACGGCACGCTTAGTTTGTGGTACTGCTCTCATTGGTGTTGCAGTTGTAGTGGTAATTCGTGGTGATGATTACTGATTTGATGTAAATTGGAAATCTGATGCAGTCCGCAGACAGGACTCTGGATGCGCCAGACCTCGTTGACGATTACTACCTCAACCTGCTGGACTGGGGAAGCGCCAATGTGCTGTCCATTGCACTGGGCAACACGGTGTACCTCTGGGACGCCGCAAGTGGGTCTACGTCCGAGCTTGTTACCGTTGATGAGGATGATGGCCCTGTCACTAGTGTTAGCTGGGCTCCTGATGGCCAGAACATTGCTATTGGCCTCAACTCCTCTGCTGTCCAGATCTGGGATTCCAGCTCAAACCGACTGGTTGGTACTTCTTGGCCTCTCTCTCCTGTTATAATTCTCTGTTAGCAGCATTATTATTTGTGCTTTTTAGTTGCTGATCATGATTCATTCTGCAGCTGAGGACACTGCAAGGTGTGCATGAGTCGAGAGTCGGATCACTGGCATGGAACAAGAGCATCCTGACCGCTGGTGGTATGGACGGCAAGATCGTGAACAATGATGTGAGGATTAGGGACCATGCAGTGCAGACATACCGCGGGCACTCGCAGGAGGTGTGTGGACTCAAGTGGTCCGGATCAGGGCGGCAGCTAGCGAGCGGTGGTAACGACAACCTCCTCCACATATGGGATGTGTCCATGGCATCCTCTACACAATCTGCAGGCCGCACCCAATGGCTACACAGGATGGAAGACCACTCGGCTGCGGTGAAGGCGCTCGCATGGTGCCCATTCCAGAGCAACCTGCTGGCGTCGGGTGGCGGCGCAAATGACCGATGCATCAAGTTCTGGAACACACACACCGGCGCATGCCTCAACTCAGTCGACACCGGGTCACAAGTCTGCGCACTGCTATGGAACAAGAACGACAGAGAGCTGCTGAGCTCGCATGGATTCACTCAGAACCAGCTAACGTTGTGGAAGTACCCGTCGATGGCCAAGATGGCCGAGCTCAATGGCCATACTTCCCGTGTCCTCTTCATGGCTCAGGTAATCTTTGCTCGCTCCCTATGCTTTGTAGCTAAATTTGAAACACATACTGTGTGCACCACAGATGGCTTATGGTTATCTTTTGTTGAACCTTTGCAGAGCCCTGATGGTTGCACGGTGGCATCTGCTGCAGCAGACGAGACCCTGCGCTTCTGGAACGTGTTTTCCGAGGCTCCGAAGTCTGCGGTGAAAGAGAAGACTTCACAGAGCAGAATGTTCAACAGCTACAATCACCTACGCTAAGGGAGCAGGTCCCAGCAACTGGTGTAACTCTGACAAGAAGTAGCAGGCTAGGCGCAAAGAGTAACTGCATCATGAGCTGATTTTACTTAGAAATTCTTTGTGTGTATTGAAGTATCTGTGGGTACTTCAGTATGCTGGTAACTCTAGTTGTTGTTCTACATTGATCCAGATGAACATCAAGACCAGTTTGATGTATTATATTTACTACTTTGTCAGTGATATATAGTACTCCCTCCGACCCATACTAATTGTCGCAACTCTCTAGTACAACTTTTGTACTAAAGTTGTACTAAAGCTGCAACAATTAATTTGGATCGAAGGGAGTATATATTTTTCTTATGAACAATGCATGGTCTCAAAATCGTGTGTCGCTTGAGAGTATCTGTATTGTTGCCTCAAAACTATTCTTTGTTGCTTTTGATGTTTCCTGTCGACTGTTTTTGCTGTTGACGTGAGGCTGGTCTGGAGGTGCTTCTCTTTTGGTTGCCTTCTTTATGCAACCTGAAGCCACCACACCACTATTTTACCATGTTATTCTTCTTCTCGGGTCATACATGGACCTGCTTCTCTGCAATGGAACCTGTGTGTGTACTCCCACTGAATCCAGACCTAGCAAAATTGGAGCAGGGTTTCACCTTCAGGTTAGATGTGTGTGTCAGCTTCAGATGTTGGAGGACCTGCTGTCTTGTGCCAAGCTGAAGCCAAAGAAATGTGGCAAACCATATGTTTACCCTCTTGTTCTTCTTTCAGTCAAAGAAATGTGCATCTCGTGGTGGGTTGGTTCAGTTTCAGTGGCAGATGGTGTTTGTGCCGATCAGATCACAACCAAACAAGCATTCGCAAAATCAGATTAGCAGCGCCTTAATCCCATGATGAGATTACCAGTGAAATTTACCATTTCTTCTTCAACCAAAAGTAGCACGGTAAAAGATTAGCGGTGCATTGACACAGACCGTGGTACTACTAGTGCGTTTGCAGCTGGTGCCATATCGGCCGTCAGATCTCGCCAGAGTTGACCCTGGCCGTCAAATGGTAGCACACATGGTTCCTCTTCCTGCCTACCGACCGGCCATCACCCACCTCGCCGCCCACTTCCTCTCCCTCCTTCCCCGCACGCGCGCGCCCTCCGCCCGGCAGGCCGTCGACCTCGCCGTCCGTCGCGAGGGTTCGCCGCTCGCCGGGATCGGGGGAGCCGCCGCCGCGCCTCCATCCCATCCAGACACAGCCTCCTAGGCCACTCGCTCGGCTGCCGCTGCCAGCTCAGCGCCTGAGAGCCCAGATCCCCCGGTATATAGAGTCCCCGGCGACCCTTCGCCGCCGCGCCGGCCATGGATTTCATGAAGGCCTTCGATCAGACCGTGCGGGAGATGTAAGTTTTCTCGATCGGGCCACCCACCGGCCACGATCCCGCTAGCCGTTTTACAAGGTTGCGGCCTTTGCTGAATTTGATCCGTGAGAGGACTGAGATCCTGATCCGTTTTCTGTGCGCGTGCTCTTGCAGCAAGAGGGAGGTCAATCTCAAGGTGCTCAAGGTCCCCGAGCTCGAACAGAAGGTTTGGATCTCGCCCAGATCTTAGCTCTGCTTCTCTGTAAAATCGTTTCCTCTTGCTGGTAGTGGAGCTGTGAATTATCGGATTAGTTCATGTGGTGGAGACTGTAGGATGGAACTTGAATTTTGCCTATGCTTGCTTGTGATACCACTCTTGTCTGTACACTCCACGCTAGTGCTTTAAGGAAACTGATAACTGTTGTAACTTTTTAGGAGCAATAAATAAAATCATGTTCCTTAAAAAAGTCAAACTCTGCGCTGATGGTTTAGTTAAATTATTAAGACCTGAATCAGAGATCAATCGAAATACACTACCGAATGCACTCCTCACACACTGCTTTTGATTTGCCTGTAATCAGGCTGGATTCCTCGATGATTACATTTAGAGCTAGAAGTCCGACGAGGAGTGATAGCTGACAAGACTAGTCCTTTCGATCTCTCATTGTATCATATTTCGTAGTTTATGTCTTCTCCTAAAAGTTTTGCTTTCAAATCAGGTCCTTGACGCGACAAGTGATGAGCCTTGGGGTCCACATGGGTCTGCTCTTTCAGAGCTAGCTCAGGCCACCAAGAAATAGTAAGTTTTAATGTCTTGTTTGTGTTGTGCTATCCCACCTCCCTTTTTATCTGTGCTGAAATGATGCCTATAACTTCTAAAATCTGCAGCTCTGAGTGTCAGATGGTGATGGGTGTCCTCTGGGCCAGGCTGGGTGAGCGAGATGCAAACTGGCGTCATGTGTATAAGGTTATTGCCTCTTATTCCCTAATGACCATCCTTTCAATAGTATATTGGACCAATATTGAGCTTGTTAGGAATCACTTCTACAGTGATTGATCACATTAACCAGTAACCACCAAAGGGAAACAGACCTTTGTATCGTGCAAATTTTTATGAGCAATGCATTCACTAATTAAAATTTGTGGATGCACAGGCACTGACGATTATTGAGTACTTGATAGCGAATGGTTCTGAGCGGGCAGTTGATGACATTCTCGATCATTATTCAAAGATCTCAGTATGTGTTGTCTGTGCTTTTGTTTACAACTCTTTCTAGTTAAGGCTACATCGAGTGATTAAACATTTTCTTGTCGTATCCTTTAAGGTTCTTTCGAGTTTTGAGTTTGTGGAACCTAATGGAAAAGACTCTGGAATAAATGTGAGGAAGAAAGTGGAAACTCTGGTGGGAATCATCAATGATAAGGAGAGAATAAAGGCTGTGAGAGAGAAAGCGGCCAGTAACCGTGACAAGTGGGTTCTGCAAAATTATTAAATGAGATCTTCTAACTTTTTTTAGTTGTGTACTTATCTTTGACAGTCTTAAACCGTAACGTATATTTGCTGTGGATGAAGGTATGTTGGGTTATCATCAACCGGGTCATACAGATCAAGCTCAGCCTCTGGAGGTAGCAACTACAGTTCAGGTGAACGCTATGGCAGTTTTGGTGGCACAAGGGAGGCTGATTCGTTCAGTAACAGTTACAGGGACAAAGAACCTGTTAAAACCTCTTCAAGTAGTACTGGCAGGCGCAAATCTGGCAGCAAGATAAGAAAGGACGTGGATCATGATAGAAGGTATTTTAAGGCTGCTTTACTATTTTTACTTAGTTAAATGACTGCTGCTGGTTTTCAAAAACTACAGCCAGTAGTATTTTACTAACAGCCAGTGGGATATGGTGGGTTAATTGTAGGTAGCATTCTTGGTTGCATGATTGGTGAGTTAGGTCCCAACTCACACGGGATGAAGTAGTATCTAATTTGCTATTGAAACAGAGTTAGTTTAAAGCGGCTATTGCCTATTAGAAGAGGTCCTCGTGTTGAATCTTGTTAAGTATGGTAAATGCAGCAATATTTTTCAAAGTGAAATGCAGCAGTATCAGTTCGGCTCTAGATTTTTAGCCTCGGGGCTTACCTTTTATTGTTATACATTTCACTCCTTCACTGAAGTTTTGTATCCACGCAGCTCCTCGAAGTCCCCATCTAACACCAAAGGCAATGAGGATGAATTCGATGACTTTGATCCTCGTGGATCTTCCTCAAACGGTAAAATATTATAATGTATTTTCCTGGTTCTGCTACTTCCATGCAAGGAATTTCTTTAGCTGTAGTACTGAATGCATGTTCATGTCTTGTCATGTAAGTCTGTTATAATCTGTAATGTTTTGACAAATAGTTCACTCTTCAGTTTGCATGTACGCTATAACTAGATTACCTTTCATGTAGCACAATTATAATATTCTCTTCTGCCTAATTGTAAATAGAAATTCATAGATGAACGTCAATTCAAGTGCTCAATCAGTTTTTACTAAAAGGGATGACCTGATAGTTTGTTGAGACTGGGAGTGCTATGCTTTTTTTATTTTTGAATGAACTAATTTGTTGGATTTGGAAACTCAAAGAGATGACTATTTCTATCTTGTTCTACAGGTGCAGCTAATACAAAGACTGCTGAGGCGGATCTTCTTGGCCCAAATTTGATGGATGATTTCCTTGGCGAGCCCGCAGCCACTCCAGCAACAGAAAGTGCTGCAGAACCTCCGGTTGATCTGTTTGCTGATGCAGATTTCCAATCGGCAATCCCAGGTGCCGAAACAGCTGCGCATCAGGATGTCCAGGTTTGGTTTTCCTCTCTGTATATCGAAGCTGCTAAATATGTTAGAAGATTATCTGACACAGTGCCAGAAACTGCCAGTATTGTGCTTTGACATTCTTATAAAATCATGTAGTTTCTCAATTTCGTTGATCATGATACAGTGTTGTCATCCAAATGATACTGCAGGAAACTGTTGACCTTTTTTCGGGAAATGCAACCTTTGCTTCAGCATTTCCACCACAGACTGGGTTTATCCCACCACCAACTTCTGGGACATCTTCTAATGCTAATACTTCCGTGTCCAAGAACACAGTACCTGAACCATTTGATCCTTTCGGTGATATTCCTTTAAGCAATTTTGGGGGATCTGACCCATTTGGTGACTTCAGCACCTCTAGTGCACCACCACCACCTGTACACAGCTCCACTGGAAATATCAGCACGTCAAGTCAGAACCTTGAGGCAGCATCGGACTTTGGTGCCTTTGAATCAAACACCGTGGATACAGCTAAAGACCCCTTCGACTTTTCTTCCACTGGCAATTTTGGCAAAGCAGATGTAGCACCTTTGGCTGCTCCCAAAACTGGTGCCTCTGATTTTGGTGCCTTCGTTGCAAACACTCAAGAAGCAGCTAAAGACCCCTTTGATCTTTCTTCAAGTATTAATGGAAGGGCAGACCAAACACCTTTGGCAGCTCCCAAGCCCAACACCAAGAAAGAAAATTTTCAGGTCAAATCTGGCATATGGGCTGACTCTTTGAGCCGTGGATTGATTGATCTGAACATAACTGGACGTAAGTTCCTCTTCTCATTTCCTCCTCGCACTGTTGGAAACTTGATTTCAGAAGTGTTGATGTTTCTCTTCACTGCAAATTGCAGCAAAGAAGGTGAACTTAGCCGATGTTGGGGTTGTTGGCGGCCTTAGTGATGGGTTCGACGACAAGGCTCAATCCTCATGGACCGGAGGATCTAGCCAACCCTCATGGAACATGGGTGCCGGAGGATCTGGCCAACCCTCATGGAACATGGGTGCAGGGGGATCTGGCCTAGGAATGTCTGGAATTCCTCCGTCTACGCAAGGCGGTGGCATCGAGAGCTTGGCAAACTACAACAAGTATCAGTTTGGTGGCTTCAAATGAGCTCCATAGGAGAACATTTCTAGCACCTGGTGTTTGTTGCTTTTGCTGGACTGTGCCTTTGGGCGCTTATTATCTTTTTATTGGTTTTGTCACCTCGCTTTTGTTGACGGTCACATTGCTTGTAATTGCTGCAGTATTCAAGTATCGTGGTCTTTGTCCAGTGTTGTCAAGCATGTGTTGTGTTTGTCGGGTTTGCAGATACGCTGCCCTTGTGTCACATCATGATTCGATTCAATCTTATGTTTAATATGTGCACCTTCTGTAAATTGTAGGCCCTTTTGCTTCTGTAATGCTTTGCGGTGCTTGCATTCAATTCCTGGGTTTCTGAAATACTACTTCGGAAACCATCAACATTACATTGAACACTGTTTTGGAACCACCGGAATGTGGTATTCCGTTTTATTCAAAAGCGTCCGAACACTGATGGCGTGGCATTCGTGTTATAATTGGACTGATTCTATGTATTCTGACATTCTACCCTTGATTTTCTCAGAAGTTGTCGCGACCGGATTTTCGGGATATAATTTTCAGAAAATGGCCGTTGTGCTCACCAGCCCTAGGATTACTGTTAGCTGATGAGGCACCAACTTGATACAGAAATTCCAAGCAAAAATACAAAATGTGTAGTACAAGACCATTCGGGTTTGAGAGTACAATAATTGGTTTCTAGTGGTCGATGGTGGAAGCGGTTTGTGGTTCACCACGGTCTATGGGACTCCATTTCCCACAGGAACAGCTGACCAGGATAACTCCTATCTTCGCGAGGCTGCTATCTCCATTGCGTAGGTTCCGGGGCTGTCATCGCAATGCTCCTCTCCAAGCAAGCAATCTGGCCAAGACAATAGTCAGGGACAAGCCAGTGAGTACTTTGAATGTACTCGCAAACATTAAGAACACAGGTATAATATAATTGATCAACATACACTGAAATATTCTATGATCACATCGTCAGTCATAAATAAAATCTTGATGCATGCAAGCAGGTTATTTATATGCAACCGGAATATGCAATGACAGAATAAAAATAAAATGCACCGATCGGATGTCTGAAGCAACGTCTCGAAAGGATAGTAAAAGTGAGCATGCCTCAGTCGGGCGTCTTAGCGACACCACGTAAGGGGCTTATAAAGTAAATAAAATAACAAGCATGGCACAGTCGGGCGTCTGAGCGACGCCACATAAAGGGCTTATGAGAGAATGAAATAACAAACATGCCTCAGTCGGGTGTCTGAGCGACGCCACATAAAGGGCTTATGAGAAAATGGAATGACAAACATGCCACAGTCGGGTGTCTGAGCGACGCCACATAAAGGGCTTATATGAAAATGAAATAACGAACATGCCACAGTCGGGCGTCTGAGGGACGCCGCATAAAGGGCTTATAATCATAGTGAATATCCAGGAGGTGGTACCGTCCCAGGGATATTCATTATTTCAAACAATGCAAACGGTTAGTCCATAATGATAACAATCATAACCATCATATATCACATGTCATCATCAATATTCGAGTTTAGTGATTTCTCCTCCGAAGACCGACACTAAGACCGACACTTGACCCATCCCAGACTGTAATCCTTAACCATGGACACGGCTATTCGAATAGGTTTAATATCTCTGCAGAGAGTGTACTCTTTACCCACGAGTAACGGATTCCTTTAGTCCATCGGACTAATTCCGTCTACGGTCTTTTAATTGAAACACACCTGACTTGCACACACCATCTTTTACTCGTGTCTGGAATCACCCATGACACCTGTTAAGCAAAACTCCAAGTGGGGAGGCTACAACCTCGCGTAGCATGGGATCAAATTTCTATCGCGCGCTCTAAGGGGTGCCCCCTCTCGGTCCCAACGGATACACCCATGCCCCCGGACCAGGTGGCATGCCTACCGGCTACAACCGGTATCTTCCACCATGGCCTCTCTGTACGGTGTGTGCCAAGACAAGGGTTAACAACTTACTGAACCATACCCCACCTACGGTAGGGACCAGTGGCAGTACGAAACAAGTATGGGGGTTACCGGAACAAGACTCGATCTATGGCCGACTCAGGAGGCTTATGAGTTCCCTGCATGACATGTATATCAAATATATTTCAACCGACGAAATCACCACCCATTATACCTTACTATGCCATACCGGACATAACCGTCCCGACGGGGACCGGCGACAAGCTCACTCCTACCCAAGGCAGAGGCTTTCCCGGATTCCTTTCCGGCATGCATGCAAGGCACATGAGGATGATTACCATCACAAGTATATACATTCCCAACAGCAAGGAAAATCACTAATATGCATTCATGCAAATGATCGTATCACCACATAAAATAACGAGTTCTCCGAAATGAGGTGGTGTTATAAACGTGTCAACTGACACACCAGAAATATTATGCCAGGGTTCAGAATGCTTGCCTTCATGGTGTGGAAAGGCAGGGTGCACTCCAAATCTTTTGAAAGCTTTCTTCTCTTCAAAAATCCTATTTTCAAAAATATGCAAATAACACATATTTCAAAAACAGTACAAAAAAGTTGTTTGGAAAATTTTCAAATAGATCTTAAAATAAACTAGACAGAATTTGAGAGATGTAGGAAAAAGAATCAATTCATTTGGAGTTATATTTAAAAAGTTATAGACAGTCAAAGCTCTGGTCAAAATCTGTTTTTAAAAGAAAATCCAGAAAAGAAAACAGTTCGAATGGAATTACGCTTTTGCACAGAGGAGACGTACTTGAGCCTTTACGCCTCCACTTATCCAGCGTGGGTGGCGCGTGAGTCACTGACAGTGGGCCCGGGGGACCCACTGGTCAGTTTTGACTAGTCGACCTCCCTCTTCCTCTGCCCCGAGAGGAGGTGGGACTCCGGCGATGCTCGCCGGCGAACGGCGGCATCGTTCGAGAAACGGAGGTCACCCGCGGGCTCAGGGGATCGAGACGGTCACTCCGGTAGTCGTTACGGTCTCGGGGGTGGACGGAGCTGCCGGCGACGAGCTTCGCGGCAGACGGTGGCCGTCGGGCAAAGTGATTTTTCTCCCGCGGTGAGTCCCGATCAAAATCGAGCAGGGGGAATGGTTCACGGGAGGAAGAGGGAGTTCTTGGTGAAGAGAACGGAAAGGGGGAGGCCCTGGTGGTGCCGGAATGAACGAGGCAGTGGCGGCGGCCGTGGTTGCCGGAGATGGGGAAGGAGACCTCCCCGGGATCGATTGGCTGCCAATGGGGGTCCTAGGGAGATGGCTTGGGACTGCCTGCGTGCGGAGATGAGCTCGGGGCTCCTTAAATAGGCGATCGGGGTCGGTTCCGACGGTGGCCGCGGATAAGGTCGCCGGCGACCGCCATTCTGTAGCTAGGGCGTCGTGGCGGCGACGAGCGCTAGTGGACACGCTTGTGGATGAGCTCGCGCTGTTCCAGGGGGCAGGTGGCGAGCGGGAGAGGCTCGGGCGGCGCCGACATGAGCAGGGGCTGTCGGGCGGCCGTGGTGGCTAGCTCCTGGCTTGCCGGGGACGTGGCGAGGGGCGGCTTGGCGTGATGCGGTGAGAAGGGGAGTGCGTGGCACGGCTCTGCAGTGGGTAAAACCAGGGGCACGACGCGTTGGCTCGGGCGCGGCACGTGCAAAACGCGTGCTCTGCTCGCGCCCAGAGCACGCACGGAACGTGCTCGACGAAATGCCAATGCATGCCACAGGGCTTGGGTGAGGCTGGCACTTAGCAGACCTAGGTTAGGAGTAACTGGGAGTCTAGTGGACATGTTAGTTTGATCATAGGTGCAAGTTCACAGTGCAATGACGAAATTCATGTCAAAGCTGTTCATGCACTTAAGGTGTTTGACAAAATGCCACAGGCACCTAGGCATTTCTAGGAGGGCCAAAATCTCCAGATGGTGGTCTCATTGGATGCATAAGAAAGTGGTGAGGTTAGTTTGTGAAAAGCACAAACTTGTTAGTGCAAGTTTTGCAAAACTACAATTCTGGACAGGAGATAAATGGCATTATTTCATGAACCAAAAATATTCAAATGGGTGCATGCTCCTGGACTTAGGGGTCTTGTAGGGTTGACTACAAGTAGGAGAAGGAACAAGGTCACTGGAGCAAAAATAAATAGGGTTGTAGTAGAAATCACAAGGCTGGACCAGAATGAAAATGAGGTTGATTCACTCAAATTTTTCAAATAACATCACTGGGTTTTTGCATAAAGTTGAATCATATGCTACTACCAACATCCCATAATTTTGGTGGAGGCCAGAAAGAAATATTTAAACGGGTTGCAGTGCAAAATTGCACTCTGGACCAGAGAAGAAAAATTGATGCAGAGCTCAAAATATTACATGAATAAAAGATATTTTTGCATAAAAGTGATTTAAAAACATCACATGACATCTCCAAATTTTGGTTGTAACTTTAAGTGAATTTATCAAATGGTTGTAGTTCAAATATGGCCATATAACCTTGGAAAACCATTTCTCAGGAAAATAAAAAAAATCAAGCAAATTAATTATGTAATTAGTTCTACTAATAAAAGAAGAGTTTTTCTTGAGAGGTTAAACAAGTCCAAAAACATATTTGAAAAGTTTTCACTTTGGGGAAAAACTCCATAAATCAAGGGAGGAAAAGGTTCAAAGATAAAAAGGGAGCCCATAAAATAAAAGTTTTAATTTCCTGGCAAAATTTTAATTAATAAAACAAGGTCAAAAATTTGGGGTGTCACAGAAGTTTATAAGCGTCAACAGGGACAAGACAGCAACATTAACGTTTGATTTTGTGTGTTGTGTGAAAGACAGCTGACAACACTGAATTCATATTTTGGGTTCTCTGTTTCGCGGGATAGGAATATGGTAGCATTGTGATGCAAATTATTTGGCTGCATTGCAGGAGAAATATGTACAAGTTTACTGAAAACTAGGCGCATTGCATAGTTGTCGTGGAAATAAGAAAAAGAATATGTGAGGTTAAACACACATGAATTATTTTCTTTGAAATTGCAGGTAGCAAGAAGGAAAAGTCATACG